TAAAACTTTAACAATGAAATTTTAATTACGTTAAATAAATCAAAACATGAAAATAATGCACAAACAAATATGTATAATAAAATCAATCAATCAAAATAATAAGAATACTTAAATGACACAATGAAAAGTTACGTTAAGGCAAAATAACAAGAAGTGCAATACAACAGTAAGTGGGAGGTGCTGGAATATTGGCTTAAAGCCACCACCTCTCTCAGTACACGCTAACGTCTAGCTGGGAGGAGTGCTGGCTACGAAAGCACGGAACATTCTGAAGACTGATGTTGGGGCGACCCCAGACATCGGGTAGTATTGGGGGCGAGTGCAGGTGCAGCCAGACCGGCGACCAATCAGCGGAGCCGTAGCGATCAACGGGTAGTTTGGTGATTTGGGTCCGAACAGGTGGCGGGCTGCATACGTTTCTGCTCACCCTTGCAAGCCTTGCTGGTGCTGGTGTTGTTGTCGTTGTTGGACATTTCTTCCATAGTCTTTTTATATAATTGTGAAGACGTAATTTTGGAGGGAAGAGCAGGCTCAATCTCTTGAAGGAGATTATCGTCACACCACTAAGAGTCCTAAGGCTCCTGACCAAAGCCCAAACCAGGGGTTTGGGCTCTGATTGGGAGCCTCAGGATTCCTATTGGATTCTGCTGAATCCCAGGTTGCATTGCTTTTTGTGTCATGGTGTAGTGGTCTAGTGCGCTAGTTTGGGAGTACTAAGTGAGCAGGTTCGAATTCTCCTCAAAGCTCCTACCGATTTTCTCATTGTTGGTATTATATTGTTCTTATGGCACCTACCAAGGAACTAAGCAATGAAATTGCTTTAAAGGATGCATGACTTCAAATGAAGGAAATGACTTGGCCACACCAACCAACAAACTCAAGAGTAGGAAGTATTGTGCTTGTTTCGAAGGTCATCCCTGGAAGGCTTCAAGGTCTGTAAACATTTTAAAATGTACATTGGAGAGTATCCCTTGCATTAGAGCAAGGGGTACTCTCCAGTGAACATTTACAGACCTTGAAGTCTTCCTGGGATGACCTTTTGAAATGGGCACAATTTTATGTATCTGGCACATACCTCTGACCCAAATATTTTGCACACGAGACAATTCTTCTTTACTATAAGTATCGTAAAGAAGGCAGGGCACAGAATACGTTTGACGAATATTGTATACTAATGGTGTTTACTGTATTATATGCACTAAAGGAAATTTCAATGCTAAATATATTTGGTGGAAAAATTACACTTGGTGAATGTGTATTTATTAAAAAATCATAAACATGTTTGTCATGTATGAAAAGTGCAAAATGTATTACATATCTAGGTAGAGCTATTAACATAAAGCCTCTTGTTTCAACCCATCCTCAAGCCATGGTCATCCCCAAAGGAGCACATTGTCAGTTTTCTGCATTGTTATAAAAACATATTTTCTCAAACATAACTGACTTATGGTTTGCAAATTATTAGTCCTAGGTAAATGTTTTGGTTTTGTAGTCAGTTATTTAAAGTACACAGTTATGCATATAAGCAGGTGTACTCTGACCACATGAAGTAGAGGAATCATTTAATTTTTTTTGCTTATAAACAGAGGGAAGGGAGGGGGGGATATGGCTGCTAATGGTATTAAGGACAGGTTGAAAATATACAACACATTCCAACATATGAGGCTTGAGCAAATATTGCTACACCATATTTATTCATTCTTATCGACTAGATTTACCACTTTCATACTTTATCTCTCCACCTAACGAGGTAACAGATCTATATGTAGAACAAAAATATAAGTATTGAAGCAGCTGATGTTGCATTATTAAGCATGCACACCATCAAGAACTGCTTTGTAATACAATTATAATTCAGTGATTCTCTACCATTTACTAATTATTTGCAAATTGCTACTTTATTGTGAAGCATCTATGGTAAACTTTATAAAAAAGCTAACTTGCAATCAAACCCCATCTGATGCCAAGATATGATTATCCATCTTCATATACTGAAGACATAGTAAACCACAAATGTCTTTGGAGTACCAGTATTCACAAGCATGTTAACTTGATTCATTTCTTCTAACAGCTTTTCTGAATTATATCACACTAAATATTTTAAGAGTGCATGTTTACGTCTCTTAAAAGTACAAATATTTAAAATAACATTACTATCTTCAGTAACTGTTTATAAAATTGTGAACATTGTGTGAAGTGTCAAAAATCTAGAAGATCTGGGGGTGAACTGTGCAGATTTGATCACCTTAACCTTGATTTAGTATGAGGATCATGACCAATGTTGAACTAAAACTTTAGATTAATCTTACATGAAATCATTGCAGAATTCAGTAGTTTGGAAGTGTTACAAGGGATTTTTTTGTATTCCTGTACTGAATGATTCATCATTTCAAATCTTATAAAAATGTAATGTTGGTGATAGATATATAAACCATAATAAATAAATACCATCAAATGCACCTTAAGTATTATCTTCCAAATATTAGGATTTACTTATAACCTTTCAATAAATTGTCACAATTAACATCTACAACATAAGTAAGGATGCCATTTGTAAAAACAGCACATGGATATGTTGAAGGAATCTTATGGGTGATACTGAAAAATTAGATACTGTATTTTGAGTCATTAAATTGCCTGAGGTATAATTATCTTGCCCACTTTCTGATGAAGGCCTACAATATATTAAATATGTATGAGATGTTGCATAGAATGTACAGGATCAACAATTAAAAGAAAATTATACAGCATAGCTCAATACATTTCTACACCAAGATGTCTTAAATAAATCATTAATGCTTTGTATTGGCCTTTGCACATGATAGCATGCAACCACCTGTGGTGTTCATACAATACTGTAGCAATGATCAAACTGTACAGCATCTGTTAATCACACCACCACTACCATTGCTGCTTATTATCCGACTCCATAGACAGCGGTAGTGCAGCGCCGTTTGACCCTCGGCACCACACTAGTGCAAAGGGTTTAAGCATTAATTTGTGTATATTATATATAATTATAATACATATATAAAATATGCTTCATATTAATGAGAAAATCTATACACAACAGCACATAAAAACAAATAAAATGCTTAAGTACATAAAATTGAATTTTAACATTTTTGTTAACATTCAAAACGAGTTCTTTTAAAATGAACCCCATGGCTCAGTGTACACCTGTGCCATACTGAATATTGCTACTATATTCTCAAAGCTTTTTTTCACCCGTTTTAGAGCAATATTTTGTTTTGCCTTTGATCATATTTTAAACAAATATTGCTTTACATCAACTCGAGTCAATATATGAGCAGCTAAGGGGCCAAACAAATGAGTGTATATAACACGTTGTCCCCACTAACCTTGCATATCTATTGTAATAAGTTTTCCCTTCTGGGTAGAAGCTGAGCTTTGGCAACATGTGTAGCATGTGTGTGATTTCTTAATTAGGATGGGTGATGACACCTTATACAGACAGACCAAGAAGAGTAAGCTATCCCTCGTTATATTTTCCAATACTGTACTTTCATTCACTATCTACTGTAAGTAAATCATATCTGTATCAGTTGTGACTGCCAAACACATGCACAGAATTCTTCAACAAACATTTCACCTGTTGTTGTTAAAGGTCATATTCAACCATTTTTTATATGTGAAGAAAGAAAACCTGTCATCACTTCTTGATTAAAAACAAATAGTAAAAATGTGCTTTCCCTGCTCTAGCACAGAAATGGTTTGTAAACAAACCATTACAAAGCCTGATGTACTAAATGTGAGGGCAATATAAAAGATGTGTCCTTGGGACAGCATATCTGATATGAATAGGGTTGAAAATGATGACAGATGGTGTAATGAATACAGTATAGTACAAGTAGTATAGGATGGTGGTGCCTACCCATCAGTGACTATGGAAGTGAAATCTAGGTCCTGGTATGCCCCTCCTGGTACCCATTTATACTTGACATACTAATTACAACTGACAAAAATCTCCATCATATTTTTTTCTTAAAGTTGTGCATAGATTTTCCATACATCTGTATGACTTCGTGTCTCCAGCTTCTGTCGATGTCCTCTTGTCCTACCTCCTTTCAATTTAAATAGGCTACCCTTATCCACATTGTCTATTTTCATTGATGTCTTGTATATAATGATCATCTCTCCTTTTTTCTTCAAGGTTCTGAAGTTAATTTCTTATAATTGAACCCTCTCAATTCTGGTACTAATCTGGTTAACCTACATTTTCAAGCATTTTTGGGGGCTCGATGAGATGCAGGTCCAGTAATGGTCTCACATGGGCATTGGGCAATGCATATAGACATTTATCTCCTTGTTTAGGTTCTTGTGTACAGATTCTAGACCTGGCCCTATGGCTTTTGCTACACCCAATTCCTTCAGCTGTATTTTATGCCACTTCTAAGAGTAACTTCATCTGTCTAATGTTTGTGGCAGTTCTGCTACTTCACCTTGACACCAATCTGGTTTCATTTCTTAGGCCTTTTTCATTCTCCAAGAGGGTTCCTCCTTGTCCACAGTCTGATCACATGGTCTCGTGTTTTCCTTCATAGTGTATATAGCTATGCAACAGCTTAGGTTTCACCCTTATTTATGTCACAATGTTTTCAAACTGGTGCTGTTCTGCCCCAATTCTGGTGTACTTATTTCTGGCCCAAATCACCAACATCAGCAAAAATGTGGTTGCACCAACACTTTGGTGCAAAATATATACCTTTATGATGTAAATTACAGTATATTATGCACTTTTTCTATAACTCTTGTGCTGACTGCATGAACTGGCTGCCCTAGGCAGCTCATGTGGTTCACATGCTCTATAACCTCTCATGTTTATGTAAATAATTATTTAATGTGAATACAGTATTTGTTTTATGCTCGCTGGCAACTCAACATGTTGAGGCACTCATGGGTTGTTGGACAACAGTTCTGTACTTGGTCTTTTAACAGTGATATATTCTAAATCATGCTTTATTCCTCCCACATTTAAGGTGCTTTTCTCCTTGAAACAATAAACATCAAGTGAAAGCATCACATACAAGAAAGTGTAGCTGTACACAACAAGAGTCGGTGAGTGACACCATCTTCAGAGTCTTCAACTCCACACACTACCAGTGCATAGCAGGAACATCACATGACATTGGTGATGCACTAAAAGGAATATCAGGAGACATAAGTGAACATCACCTGCAAGACACTACAGATATTATAATGAGCAAAGTTCTCTAGTGTTGTAATTTATCATTACTGTATATTGTATATCAAATAAGCTTAGTACTGTATATTAATATACTAATAATATATTCATATTTAATTTTATACAAATAATGCATCTTCATTGTCTCTATTTTGGGTTCTGTAATTTTTTCTCCATTGTTTGACAAGCAATTTCTGTGGAACTTGCCTACATTTGAGGATGTAGTTCCACCAATAATCATGTGAAGTTGGAAGGAAATTCAACAATATCTACCTCATTCACTGGTGGTTCAAAAGTACGATTGTATGGCTTTAAAAATTCCTAGTGTTGTTACTTGTAAACCAATTTTCACAAATTTTACATATAGTATGACATATATAAAACTACAATTTGGAAATGGCAAATTTTAATATTTGAATTAAATTTACAAAAGTGCAGTTGTCAAGCAAAATGATAGGGTTTCATTCAATAAATATAATTTTCAGCAAATAAATATTTTTATGTCATATCCTTTTTCAGATTGTTACCTTAGACTTTATTCTACTAGTTAGATTATTTTTAAAATCGGTTATTCTTTTGAAGTGTTACCATTGTTTTGTATTTTTTTTCCATATCCATTTAGGTTACAATGCTGAAACCTGAGCCGGAGGTTCATCCTATAAATTAGATTTTGTAAATAAAGTTTCATAAACAAAAGATGTTTTTGAATGTTATCCATTAGAAAGAATGCAATTCAGGCCCCTTAAGTGCCTCCTCATTTGCCTCTGTACCAATGTCCCGATACTTTTTCCGTGCCTTTATTTTTCTTCTATTTTCCTCCCGAGAGGTATAAACCGTTTCGTTGCTTCTGTGCACTTGGGTTACAAATTTTATCATTTCATTCACTGAATTTTCTTCCATTTTGTTCTCCCACTGAACATCCTGCAGGTAAGCTGTATTCTAGTGCTCTTCATCTTCTTTCTTGGTCCAACTTCCTTCTTCCACATGCATGTATGGGTGGTAATAATGTGCCCCACCATCTATGCTTTTAAATCCCTATGTTTGAGTTATATACTGTATTTCATCTTAAAGCTGGGGATGGAGGTGGTTTCCATGACTTTTTACTTAATGCCCACCCATACAAATATTTCTTTGTTTCTTAATTATTTGCATTTCCAACTTCGACTGATGTCAACATGGCCTGTTTCCACTTAAAAGGCCGTCATACTAGTGAAAAACACACACTGCACTTGAAGTTTTTTGTTTCCTATCGATTCCTGTAGATGGCATTCTTCTCGTAATGAAGTGCAGCAGAAATCTGCATAAATTCTTTTACCTTCTCCCATTTTCATTACCCGACACTTGTTAGGGATGAATTTATAATAGCCATTTGTCTACTGGAGCTTGTCAAGGTCTTCCTGACTTCCTGAACAAGTCCCCCTCACTTTATACTTTCCTCATTAATCATCGAATTAAATATTTTAATTCAGTGTCTTTCAGAATCATCTGAAGACATTGTTATGTAAGGTTCCACTTGCTCACATACATCATTCACATAGATCAAAAACAACCACCAAGCCTTGGGGGGGGGGGGACATGTTTGCTACATCCCTCCAGCCTGACATCTGACAGACCTGTTTCTGTTATGTACTTCGGTCCCAGTTCAATGTGGAGGAATCGACATACAATCATTTAATGATTATTGCACGTATAAACTATTGGCTCTAGTGGAAAATTTTACTAGAGTACAGAGTAGAGTACAGTACAGTGATGATGGTGATCAAAAATACTCAGAGGAGAATCACACGTGTCACCTTACTGTGAGAGATGAAGGGTCTGTGTTTTAGAAGCTAAAGGGCTGTGTGTAGTAGTGCCTATCCTTACCTACCAATACAACACACTCATGTGGCACCAGGATGAAAATTCCAGAGTTAAAAGCTGTGAAAAGGTACAATCCATGCAGATGAGGAGTCACAATAATGTGACTGAAATATGTTGACCGATCCACACACTAGAAAGTGAAGGGACGACGACGTTTCGGTCCGTCCTGGACCATTCTCAAGTCGATTCACAATCGACTTGAGAACGGTCCTGAACGGACCGAAATGTCGTCGTCCCTTCACTTTCAAGTATGTGGTTTGGTCAATGTACAATCTATGATGCATTTCCAAGTTTTAGTGATGATAGGGACCAAAACACCATAGAAAGATGTGCATTACAAAAGTTAGTAAACTGTAAGAATGACAAGTTAACAAGATGGTATAGTCATATTAAATGAGTAGATGATTAGTGGTAGACCACTGGATGAAGACTCACATAACTAACATGGTTCACCCAAAGTCAAGGAAACTAATGCCACATGAAGTTACTTCTGAAACTTAAGGGAATTGTGTACTGCAAACTGGAACTCTTATACAGTAATTATCAAAATTTGACATCTCTCTTGCTATTATTACCTAATGAAGATATTAACCTTGTTATTACATAATCATTAATTAGAAGACTGTTGGAGCATGTGGTAAGAATGCACACAATCATTTTTATGCAAAGTAATTCATTTTGAGACCATTTCTGATTTTTTGTTTTTAGTTTACCATAAAAATTTATAAATATCCTTGAATCTTTTAAGATAAAACTTAAAATTACGGGCAAACTATTCAATCCAAATTTCAGGATTGGATATGATAAAATTTGAATTTCATTAATATGAAATTCTGTATATCCAAAGTAAACAATTGCATACTTTCCAAAATTGTAAATATTATTTGAAAAGATCATAAAACTATTGTTTAGTGCATTAAGAATTGTGCATAGTGGTGTATGACAGCCGAGAGAATCATCCAAACTAAGGGTTCGAGTTACTCTAATGAGTTTAAAGGTATAGTATAGTGAGAGGAATACCAAGTAGATATGAGAAATCAGGGTTAAGTGTGACCAGTACACAAGAAATGATAGCGAATAAGGCTGAATGTAATCAGTATGTTAGGAGAGTGAATGTTCGACTTTCTTTTAAATGGCAACTCAATGGAAGTATTTTACACTGGGTTGTATGAAGAAGTGTGGCAATGTGTGGTCGTGCGGGTCATAAATGATGCTGCAATATTTTGCGTAAAAGACGTGGTAAATGGGTAGGGAGTGGCTGCTGGATAATTTTGATCTTAACCTATTTTCTCTCTATTGTCTTCTAAGCTGGCAACTTCCCATCCCATGAAAGTAGGAAAATTGGCAGTGAGGAATTTTACAACATTACAATTATCAATTTATGCCAAAGCATCACACACACACAGTACATGTGTCAGTGCATCTGGATAAAGCTTTTTAAGTAAAGCTTTATAAATGTAATGTTTTGTTAACCTATAGTAGACCAAACACAGTTAGCACAGCAACACATTTATATAACATTCTACTTTCATAAGGTAGAAGTATTCCCAGTATAATGGGTTGCCTTATACCAGGGTTTAGTGTGATTGGCCAAACACACAATTCAATACCAATGTGACCAATACCCAGGGGTTAAATACATAGCTTGTGATTCACAAAAGGAGACCATCATAAGGCACATTCTATTTGATTAAATTTAGTGAGGTGATGTGAACCTAAATGACCTATTACCACCCACCCTTCCTTTATTGCACAACACGCATCTCAATATACAAATTAACTTGGACTTGTCACAGACCACACCACAGTGCAGTGTTCTGTGGAGGTGTCACATTACTACCACATGCCTTTTTTTGTCACAGATTTGGAAACAAAAAATGTCGAACATTAACCGATGGCAAATCTCAGGCACGGCACGTGATCATGTCATTCAAGCTCAATATGACGGACAAAATATATCGGCTCAATACCAGGTTTTTAGGTTGTCTCTGGGGTTTGATATGTACAATATAATAAAAATGAAGTACAGGTGAATACATTATTACAAGTTTTGTCATGAAATGTTTATACTAAAATATATTCAACCTTTTACCTTATTCCACTTGGAAACTTCCTTGCTCTAAGTGGGAGGCCACATGCAGAATTTTCTCAGAATTCTTAAATAAATAAAATATATTGTATATAAATTCCTTAAAGCATAGAAGAGCTTGTTTATGGTTGCAATGTAAAATTAACTCATTTAGATGGTGTATAGTAATCAGGAATATAAAAGCAAGAAACCATAAAGTAGCAAATACCAATTTCTTTCATCACTCAAAATTAGAAAGACTGGTATTCCTCCATTAATCACTTCTAGGTATATTATTAATAGAATAATTTGTTTCCCCAGGTTCTTACCTTCCAAACGCTATATTTCTAGAACAGATTCATTCACTACAAAGAAAGCATTAGCATGCAGACTTACCACACACTTACTGGAGACTGAGAACCCATCCTTCTCCATGGGTCAGCCGATGCCACCAACCATGCTGCTTAAATACTGCCCATGTGGTCGAGTACCTCTTATGTGTCAAGACAATGAGAAGAAAACTAGTTTATTGGACATTATTATCTGATGTCTTAAAAGGAAAATATTCCTTGAGTAAAGATACTGCACATTGCTTGTGACGCGATAACACCATGCTTGAAAGTGTACCGTTATAAAACAAACATTGCTGACGAGATTAACATCCCTGTTTTTGTTACAAGTTATAAGCAGCCATATTTTTAAGATGTTACACTGCATATACACTGGCAATGTATATGCAGTGTATGCGTATGGAGAGGGCTTCCCCATTCCATGATATACATTATATACACAGGCCTTAGTTCTAAACTATGTTCAGCACTGAAATTCACTTAATGGCCCTTAATAATACTCCCATTGTAGATAGGCCATCAGCACCAAATCTCCAACAAATTTCCATTGTGGACAAGACAGTCTATACCTAGTACAGTGCTCCATATATACAATGTACAGTAAAGTATTTACATTCAAGGATTATATAATTATTATTCTAATATTTTTCACCCCAAACTACTTTATGCAAACTTTAGGGAGTAAACTTATTTAACAGGGCGTCCCCCCCATCCACTACAAAAGGGTTACATTTTCAAACAGTTACATGAAGTGAGACATCCCACAGTTGCAATGCTAGAAATGGGGGATGCAATCCCAGACACCAAAAATTATCATATTAATATTTTTGGGACAAAAAACTCAGCATGTTTATTACCTTGAATGATGGAGTTATCATGCTTGTCAATGTTGGCTATTTTTTAAGAGCTCTAATTATATGAATAATTAAATGAAAATACATGTAATTACCTAAGTGTAGTTACAGGATGGGACACCGGGACACCACGAGCAATGTTGGTGGTGTTCCGTCTTTCCAGCATTCTGTTGTACGTGTATAATGCTTTCAAACTACTGATGGTTTTGACCTTCACCAGCTTCTCACCTAACTTGTTCCAACCGTCTACAACTCAGACGTACTGTATTCTGTGGGAGCCATTGTGTACCGAATCTTGAGTAGGCCATTTGTAATTCATCACATAAGTAACCATCTCCCACTCTCCAGCAGTCACCAACTCTCTGATCCTACCCCACCCTACACAAGATCTGGTCTTGTTCAAATCATGCAAGTTTGTGGCTCACTGAAGCCTTGTGAAGCAGTCACTCTTAACTTTATCATATTCCCATAAACACCACTCCCATAAATCCTACACCCACATACCAACCCTCTCACTCCTGACACACACTCACCTGCTACCAACACCCACCCATCAAACCACTCCCAAGAAACTCCTGACAGGATGGCTGCCTGTGACACGACAAAACAAGTTGCTGGCTGTCTCAGTCCCCAACATGGATGGTGAAATATTAAAGAAATTGTTCATGACCTTTGTGAGACCAAATTTGGAATATGCAGCAGTTGTATGGTGACCATTTCAATAAACTGGAAAAGGTGCAACTAAATGACTTTTGGAAGTAAAAAACAAGAGCTACGAGGAGACGTTAGAGGTGTTATCTTGAGAGGTTATCTTGAGATGATTTCGGGGCTTTAGTGTCCCCGCGGCCCGGTCCTCGACCAGGCCTCCACCCCCAGGAAGCCAGCTGACTAACTCCCAGGTACCTATTTACTGCTAGGTAACAGGGGCATTCAGGGTGAAAGAAACTTTTGCCCATTTGTTTCTGCCTCGTGCGGGAATCGAACCCGCGGCACAGAATTACGAATCCTGCGCGCTATCCACCAGGCTACGAGGCCCCCATAGTGTTAAATATACCAAAGCTAGAAGGCAAAAGAAAAAGAAGTGATATGGTCAATACATACAAAATAGTAACAGGAACTGACAAAATTGACATACAAGAACTTTTGAAAACTTTAACTTCAAGAACAAGAGGACACAGGTTCGAACAAAGGAAATAAAGCTAATAAAAAACATTAGAAAGTTAACTTTTGTAAACAGAGTGGTAGACTGTTGAAACAAGTTAAGTGAGGTGGTGGAGCCAAAACCGACAGTAATTTTCATGTCATATGACAGAGTACTGGGAAGACGAGACATAATAAGCTTGGTTCTCATTCTGTAATAACTCTTTGGTAAATACACACACACACATTTATATATACATCTATATACAGTACTATATATTTATATAAATATATCAATATACTATATATGTATATACAGTATACATATCACTATACTGTACTATATATTTACGTATAAATATCAATATACTGTTTATATACATCTTTTATACACAACATAATATAGGTTAATTATGTACAAAAAATCTCAAGAGAGAATAAAGTTTCCATGCATGTACTGGCAAATAATGTTACCATCATAAATGATAATTAAGAATGTTTGGGTGGGTAAGTAACTCATAATTTAGTAGTTTAGTACAGTCAAATGAACCACAGCCAAATGAACCAATCATTCATGTCCAGATGTCATGTCTAGCTCAGATAACCCTAATGAAAAGCAAATAATTTAACAAATGGAAAACAAAATAATGCAAGCTCATATTTTCATGGTTAGACAACAAATACACATGGCAACTGCAACTGAAAACATTTAAGGGAAGAAAAAGTACTCAAAAGATATCCTTTTGAGTAAATGTGTAGTGGTTCTGCCAAGCAGGAATAAAGAAAGTTGTGGCCCGGAGACAGGAAAGAACAACCAGAGCAACATAAGAAGAAAGAAGTGCTATGTACATTACAGCATGACAGTATGTCTGGCCTTTTAAAGAACAGCTAGACTTGCAATAACAGATAAAACGCTAAAATAAATTAACTAATGTGTATCGACACTTTAAACAACCTTACAAGTAAAAAAAATTATTTCCATGCATTGGTCCCCAGATATATTTTTGTTAAAACATGCAATGCTCTATTCAGGAGTGAATATGCAATATATGATTATTCTAATTTTATCAAGAAACTATTTTTTCAACATAATTAGTTACCATTCATTAAAGAAGCCTACATTTTAACAAGTTAATGGAGTAAAGATATTATTATTTACGATGATTCTACATGTGGCCACCACCTAAAATAATGGAATAAGGTGTTAGTGGTATATGTGTACGAACACACATCACCAATTATAAAACTATGAAACAAGCAGGTGACAATTTCTGGACATGCTATTAAAAGAAGCTTTCTTTCTTTCCTTTGTCAACACTAAATTTCCTATTTTATATTTTATCAATAATGATGCTCAGCACTTAAAATTGTTTTAATATACAGTAGTGCAACCTCAAAAGAACGTACTAATCGGGACCAAACCAATGAGCTGTGGTGCAGTGGTCAACTCGACTTAAATAACCCAAGTTAGAGAACCGAGGAGGAGGAGATGTTTTACCGCATATCCTTGAACCTGACGCCACTCATTACTTTAGGCAAGTAAATAGGTACCCGTGAGTTAGGCAACTGTTTTGGGTTGCATTGTGGGAAAGGTCAGTTGTTGGCCTAGAAAGACTTCAGTAACCCTAACAGACTTCCTGTTCCCAACAACGGAAAACTAAGTTTTCATTATGTCAAGATTTTTGCAATTTTCAACTGTTTATTACAACTGTTTCATTTATTTTTTATAGTAAATAATAAAATAAGGTTCTTTGGATTTGTATACACTCAAATATTATATAGTCAAAACATTTATAATGTACAGTATTATAAGATAAATTAATTTAAGAAAAAAGTCTGAATACAGAAAGTGGGTACAGTACACAGTCCAGTACTGTAATGCATACAGTGCAGAATATGGATCATTATACACTATAATACTGAACTGTCATTTACACACATGATATCTTGTTTTATTTACTCATGTGATATCTGTACTCTAGTACAGTACACTGTACTAGCTCTTAACACCAAACTCCTCTTGCCTGTCACATTTTCTGTCAATTTAGTCTTTTCATCTATATTAAGGTCCTCCTCCTCTTCCTCCTCCCGGCTTCAGCCTCACTACTGATGTTGAGAGACATCTTTTCACTCTTGACAGAGACATATCGACAGTCCAAGAATGTGTTCATGGAAAATGTATCATAAAATGTATTACACAATGTGCAGCAAGAGTACGAGTATTTTTTATCATGATTCTTTACTGGTAAATGCAAGACAACAGTGAAAACAATGAGAAAAATATGAAAATAAGAGTACATTTTCATCAAGTCAGTCTAGTGTATTTAGGCATCATGGCTGAACATACACTGTGATCCATTGTACCAAAGTTCGTCCAGTACTAAATTCTTTCCATTGCACCAAGGACTTTTCCCCTTCAATTGTGATCTGTTCTATTATGGTTGCACTGTATACTGTATAATTATGATGGTCCAACTCAAGTTAACCCACAAACACCAGTAATAGTCTGATAGTCTCACTGAAATTTCCACATGAAGTACTGAACTCTATACTGTATTACAAACCCTTGTGTCATTCTACCTGTGAAAACAAAGCCGTCTTACTGACATAATGTGTATCAAATATTTGTTATTGTATCACTGAGAGTCTCAGCAGTAACATTCCTTGTACGCTACATTAGTATTCTTACTGGAACAACAATCAAGCATATACATAACCTGCAAGGTCACATACTTTCCTCCTTGTACCTCTGTATTAAAGTCCGTAGAGTGCGATTAGGAGTGAGCGTGAGGTGAGAGAGCTTCTCATTGGTCATTGGACTTGTGCGTTTACCACTAGCCAGCCAAGCTTCCATTGCCACCCGTTCATAGGTGAATCCATCTGAATATAAAATAATGATAATTACCATAAGTATTTAAAACAATCTTATTAGTATTTGCACAACACAATATTCAACTACTAATAACCATTACAGTATCTAAAATATGCAGTTAACACTTGTTTGAAAATGGTGAGGCAATTCTCAAGGCAGAATGCTTTGCATGTTAATTGTGTAAAAACAAACTATAGAAATAAATTATAATGGTGACGATGCAATATTTATTATGGGCAGGTGTTCTGAGAGAACTATTGTATATCATACACAATCATTTTTTATTTTCTTCTTGAATACATCTCTTGTAATTTCAGCTACCAACCTGCACATAAAACAGGATCATTTATTAACTCCTGTGTAATAGGACACAGGTACTCTGTAGGAGGTGTATTAGCAGTTTCCTTATTGGTCTGTAGATCCTGCGTAGATTTACGAATCAGTCGTAGAATTTTGTTGCGATGGCCTAAAGCATCTGTTGAATGAAATTAGTGAATTTTTTTTTGTTACTGTATACAGTATACAATAAAACATGAGAATAGCAAATAAAGACAATTTAAAAAAAAAAAAGGTTATTTATCCAGATTTCAGCGGGTGCATGCATTAAATAAGCGAGTAACAAAGTGAGAAGTTTGTTGTGAATCACATTTTTAACATATCAATTCTAAAAGTAGCCTCAAGAAAATGGTAAATTCTCTATATGAATCAAATTAAATCAAAAGCTTCACAAATGGTTGTACATTTATAACTGAGAAGGTTTACCAAAAATTTACAGTAAATTAATGGAGTAAGTTTCACAACAGCAGCATAGCACGTAGACTATCATTATCCCAATGCAACACAATAGTAAAAATATGAGGTGGGAGGAAAGGTCTTACCTCACCTGTGTGAGACAATTCACTGGTAGAGCTGTGCACTTTGAACACTCATTGAAGTTAGACCTTTTGTGAGATTGATCTGCACTCTAGAGGGCCATTGAACCTACTCCTCTTATTACTTGTTGATTTATGGAGTAAATTACCAGGTAACATAATAGATGTGGGATCGCTGGAGTGTTTGAACCATAGCTTAGACATGAGTATGAGTGAGTTTGGGTGGATGTAAATAGAAGCTGCCTCGTATTGGCCAAAAGGCTTCCTGCAGTCATCGTGTATTTTTACGTTTTTCCAGGAGCATGACATGCTCATGCATGGGTTGTGCATGGCAGAATTATGAGTGACGTGCACCTCTTAGAGGCACTCACATCCTCCAGTATGGATAAGGTTATCTACACACATCTTTGTGTGATGGCTTGTCACAGGGATATCGAGTGATAGGTTCTAGTTACTGATCTCAAATTCAGCCATTAAAACTGATGTAATGGTAAACTAAAGGTCCTTAAATCAGGTGGTAATTTCCCGAGGATCATATAATTTAGTAAAAATATGATCTGGAAGAAATTACTTAACCTAATAATACAGATTTCACAACAGCCCCCTCAGGAATACTGATTTTTTCTGACAAATTCAAAATTTTAAGGGAAGATCTAATGGGCAAATTAGGTCCGCTATTTAGAGGGATTCATTATATAAAGGTCTGGATTTTTGAGGGTGCAGTATATACAAAATACAAAGCACAATAAAATGCATTTAGAACCTTTAGCACTAGAGACTTTGTACAGCATCTCACAATATATATTAGTTTGCACAATTCTACATGTGAAAAGTGGGTATACAGTATTTCATGTGTATGATAATACTAACTTCAAATATGCACTATGATACTAATTTGCCATGTGTATGGTTGTACATGTGCAAAGGGGTACCACTTTCCCATTTGAAAAATCATACTAATTTTGCATGTGCTGGGTGGTATGTCACACATGCAAGGTGATACAGTGTTACTGTACATTGTAATGTGCTAGATGGTACTAATGCAATGTGCAAGGGGCATTACTAATTTCACACATAAAAACAAGTAATAATCTTGCATGTGAAAGGCAGTACTAAAGGCACATATGAAATACGGCTTCTAAATTTACATAAATACTATATACATGCTCTTTATTGAGATTTAGACCTCAGACCACTGAATGCTATTAGGTTAGGCTATTCAGTACCATGTTTTTCATGATTGTGTGTGTGTGTGTGTAGGGTGAACAGTTAAGGAACAATGCCCAATTGTTCTACCTGGCCTGTGACTTGCTCCCGAATCATTCTCCGTTGAGAGGCAACCAGCTGAGGACGGTAACCACCATGGCACATAGAAAACTAATTTTACATGTTGAAAGCTGTACTAATTTGATGTTTGTAAATGCTTAATACTTTAAAAACCAAGGTAGTCTAAGCACTCTTGAAAATTTTTACTTTTTTTGACCTACTGTACTCAAACACATGTATGTAATGTTCTGTATGTACTGATATGTTGTATCGTCATTTTCTTTAGTTATATACAATACTTTGTATATAATATAAAAAATAGACATACCAACACTAAGTTTTTGCTCAAGGATTTCATCTGTCATTGCCAACAATTCTCGTCCATCAATAGCATGTGAACGGAAATTGTGAGAATATTCTGCTAAGCCTTGTTCAACCAGCCAGCCACACACATCCTCACAGTTCCACTCCACTAGCTGAAAGTCAAAAATATTTCTGAAACTACATACAAAAGAAAGAAATGATTAACGATGAATACGTATCAGTGGTTATAGAGTACCTAATATTATACGGTAATGTATAATAACCCAACCCACGTATGAAATGAAAGTGATGACGTTTTAGTCTTACCGAGTTGTGACATGGCAAAGTGCGTCACTGTAAGGCATAGAGATGATGAGGTGAAAAATCACTTTCATGTGTGGCTTGAGTTATTATTTTTCTCTACATATATAAGTATATTCTTGTGATTATTATTATAATCTTTTATAATTATTATTATTTATATAATTTCTGTATAATTACTATTAATATTTTTGGTACAAAATTTTTGAAGAAATACACCAGGATTTCATTAAGTTCTACATTTATTAGCATATACTGGTAGCCTAATTTATTTGTAACTTGTTCTACACCAATGAAGAGGTGACAACACACCTTAATATTTTCTCGAAACCTCTGTGATGGAAACCTAACCAGCAGTTTTTTATGATCAGCAGCATGCCGCCTGGGTATCTGAGCGAGTGAACTTGTAGCAGCATCAACCCGCCACACGTGGACAACACGATCACCACTTCCAGCAGCTACCAAGGCTCCATCATCACTAAAGGCACACGAAGTTACATATCTCTTGTGCCCTTCTAATACACCAAGGGCTGTTAGCCTCATCTGCAAACAGAACAATGCTTTTATACAGATAATTTAGACCTTTGAATTTTGTTTGGTAAAGCTCCTGACAGCAAGAAATTTTTTCCAGTATGGCATGAATTACTCAAAATTTAACATGGCATAAATATCATGTAGTGCAACCATTTCCTTTACCACCAAAAAATCTGCTAGTGCAATTCAAATGGGACAAAATGGTACAGATTTTTTGCATGTTTTCTACCTTACAAAATTTGGAATAAAATATATTTGTGTCAACACATCCATGAATAAGTTACTTGTTTTAAACACTGGCATAATTAAGGTGCCTCCTTGTGTAGTATGACTTCATGTAACAAATTTTTCCTGGAATGTATAATGACAAGGCAAAACCACCATTTCGCTTTCAGGAGGCAGTAGTAGTGTAGGCAAATGAGATGCAATGTCATTCTAAATTCTCTCTCCTCCTATGAATTAATTACAACTGGATTAGTATTCTGATCCTCATGAAAAATTATCATAGCGTAATACAGTAATCAATCTGAGATAATAATTGAAAGTTCGAGAGTAAGGAGACATGGAGCAGAATCACCACTAGCTGCTTAACCATGGGGAAAGTCTGGACATTTTGTCAGTTGCCATTCATACTTGAGCCAATCAAATTTAGGCATCCATACTTGAGCCAATCAAATTTAAGCATTCCTGATTGGCAAGAACAATTGTGATTCACTTGGCTTCCATCCACAATGAGGACCTCATTCTAACTGTGGACTTGTTATAAGGCTTATTATATAAGCATTAGACTGACTTGGCCACAAGATCACTGAATATAGCCCCCCCTCATATTCCTAATAGTACAGTCTTTACATGTAAATGGAGTTAATATCTATGCCTAGGCCATAGACAGAGTCCCAAAAGGCATCACCAATGTAGTGTCCCAACTCAAGAGTCAGACCCTACTTAAGGCTATACCAAACAACTGCAGAGAAGATGTACTAAGAGATGTACATTTTTGAACAATCAATGCCAGAAAGAAAACCCTGAAACAAAGCTAAAAGAAAAAAATATAGTCAGATATGTAAATGACTGTGCACCCCACTGAAGAAAGTACTAAAGCAATGGACCCATTGCACAGTGACATATACTTAAGGAATAAATAGTAAAATTGATTGAACAGGCTTTTGTAATTACAGTATTGCCAACATATGCTATTCAAATGGAGTGATGCAAGAATATTATAATTTCAAGGAGGTGGTATTGACATTTTTTATAGTAAACTCCTGCAATTAGGAAAAAAAATAGTAACAAAAATCTTGCAAAAGAAAGGTTGATCATAGGTAATGCTGAGCCAACTTACTGGATCCCAGAGTCTGACAGTCTTGTCTCCAGATGCAGATGCCAAAATTAGTCCGGTGGCACTAAATCTGACACACATTATAGGTGCACAATGACCACATAAAGTCTGGTGAAGTGTAATGGATGGTGTGCTGTCTCCTCCCAGGACCTGACTCTCTATCTCCACAACCCACAGGTGTAGCTCATTATCTTGACCTCCTGAAGCTAACAGGTATTGTTTTCCTATTATGCCATGTTCTGAAAAACAATTATTTTTGTTTACATAAAAACTGCCTCAATTTATCACACAAGTCATCCTAGGTATTAAAAAAAAAAAATCAATGTTTAAATTTTCTATTTTTATTTTAAGTTACTAAATTTTTAGCCCAATTTACTCACCTTCTTTGCCAAATGCTGGACTAAAGTGGAGGGATGATACTCCCAGGTCATGAGCCTCGGCCTTCATGGCAAGGGGTACAGAGTGGCCATAACGGGCATCCCACACTCTTATTTCTCCCCCACTGGTGCCTGTTGCCAGGTAGCAACTGTCCGGAGTAAAGCTAACGCTGGTCACTGTAGACTCGTCTCCACACATCCGTCTACAAGCAATAAATGAAAATATTATTTATAATTTTGCTAATTCTAATTCTTAGTCTACATACACCTGGCTGTGTTGCCATGATGTCTAACTGAACTTACATGCTCACATCAGTGTTTCAAAACAACAAATATGGCACTAGAAAAGAATTTGACAAGCATATCCTGTAGTCCCAATCATCTTTATCAACTGGTTCAAAGAAATCAAACCATTAATGATGTCACCTGTTTCCATTACTGACAAGTTCATAACATTATTGCAGAGAAACACATACAGTATTAGCTTAAAAAAAAAATAAAAAAATAAAAGTGTACTTCAAATTACTATTGCAGTGTAGTTACACCAAATAATGCCTATCAGCAAGTGTTCTCTATACATCAGTATCTATTATCTATTTGCAATTGATTTGGGTGTCAGACAATATCAGACCCATCAGTGTAACCTCACATTTGCAAGGGAGGGAGGGAGAGTTATCACGAGAAAGTGCCGAGCCATTATGACAATACTGTACTGTAATGGCTTGGCGCTTTCTTCAAGATAGTCTTGAAGCTTCAAGACTGAGTGAAACTAGCATCCACCATCTCACTTTGCACAATCTTGTAAAATCATCACAGCACAATTTTGTGGAAAAACAACTCTTGCCTACAAAACCACTCACATTTCTTAAAAGGATAACCAACTATACAGACCAAAGGATTGCAGGCAATGAGTCACAATAATGTGGCCAAAGTATGTTGACCAGACCACACACTAGAAGGTGAAGGGACGACGACGTTTCGGTCCGACCTGGACCATTCTCAAGTCACAATCGACTTGAGAATGGTCCAGGATGGACCGAAACGTCGTCGTCCCTTCACCTTCTAGTGTGTGGTCTGGTCAACAGATCAAAGGATTCCCAGTTGACATAATGTATATAGACTTATCTAATGCATTTAATAAACAAAGTCTCTCTCTCAATAATGAGAGAGCCCAGAAACTACAACTGCACAAAATCAATGATAAAATTCTGGAATTGATATAACAGAGGTTATAGCAATTCTGGAATTGATATAACAGAGGTTATAGCAATTCTGAATATAACAGAGGTTATAGCAATTCTGGAATTGATATAACATTGCTTTGCATGTTAAAACATGCAAAGCAAAATCATCCAAAAATAAACAGAATTAGATTGGATAATTTTTATGAGCATGGTGTCACAACTATTTTAAGGCTCTTTTAGTAATTTAAAACATTAAACAAACCAATTATCAAATTCATAGAAGTTACAAAAGTTTACAGACTACAGGAAACTGGGAAGCAAAATTGATATTGTAGCCTTGCATACTAATATTTATGAATTTTCCTAAATGGTCAAAGGACTAGTAAATGTACTGAAAAACATTTTCCCTGTATTCAAACATTTTGAAAACTGAAACATATAAATCTATTCATGTGGGTCATAAATATAAGATCACAGCTGCAACAACTCATAGGAAGACTTTCCAACAAATTAAATAGAAAAAATCCTTTGAGTAATAGTTTACCCTTAACTGAAAACTGATCAAAGAAACATATTACTGTATAAACTATGCTGACTAAACCCTGCAAATAATCAACTGAACCTTCAACTTCTTTGAATAGGTTAAGCTGAACAAATCCCTTGTGCACTTCCACCTGGAAATCTTGCATAAAAAAATAAATAAATAAAAAATAAATAAATTATCATACAATCAACACAGAGCAATGAAAATTATTATGGAACTAAGTCAATCTCATACTGGACCACAAACGGCAGAAGACTCCAGGACTATAAACTCTTTAAACATGACACTACAAGTCTGAACTCATTGATAGTTTGAGAATACTGAGTAAGTTGATATACATAAATCCAAGCAAAGTCCTTTAGAGATCCATGTTTCAGGTATCAATTCAAGTTCACCATGCCCTAGTGTATGACAGAGAGCAGAAGATGCTTTTCACCCAAAGGGCAATAACTCGTTCAATCTGCGATTTAACCCCTGCACTGCACTCCTGTTTTTGGCAAAAATTTCATGGTGCAGCAGTTGTTTAGGACATATTTTTGTTGTTTTTATAAATGTTCAGTTAATGTTAATGTCAAAATGTTTCCAAACTCAATCATTTCCATTTAAAATCACAAAAAGTGATGAAAACATTAAAACATGGCCTACCGGGGTAATTAAAAACAAATCGCACATCGCTCAAAGCACCTTAAGGCATTTTGCACAGTTGAGTGGTTAAAGACCATCATAGTACTACAGTTCAGCTTTATAAACCTCTCAAGAAAAAGAATGGGGATTGTTACTAAGACTACTAGTGATAGCAGCTACATCACAAATGCTTTCTACTTGTACTGTGCAAACCTGATGGGTACATTTTGGTACTTGTTATAAATTATTACAAGCAGCAGCTAATTCATGAATACTGAAGGCCAAGAGTAATAGTTGGTAAATCCTTCATTCCATATGTAAGTGGAATGAAGCACATTCTTCCAAAAGCAGACATGTTAAAGGGTACAAAGCCATCTTTCTGTACCGGTTTTTTCAGCTTATGGCAATGAAACTGTAGGACCATATTCAACATGCAAGGATCTTGCAGCAATGCCTACCCAATGGTGGCAAGTATGATTCCAAAAGTTCTTGACTTGCCTCCTGAAAGAGGTTGGAAGCATGTGAGGATCATGGATTAACTTAGTACTGAAGAGAACTACCAGCAGTAATCAATCACAGAAGACATGAACATTCCCAATTAATGCTTAATAATAAATAATTTGCTATCAAAGCACTCCTCACCCACCACCTTGCCACACCCAGAGTGAACTAGCATTCCTGTTGTACTTTAAACCTTGTGCTAGGAGAGTGAGGGGTATATGCTATTAATGTTTCACGAGCAAGGTAACCTCAAGGTAGCATGTATTCTTGTCTCACCGAGTGATCCTCGATGTCTACACCATTTTGGTATTTGTTTCAAAGTTGTCTTCCCTTGAACTGCTAGAGAAGACCAGTAACCCCTAGAGTTAACTTTCAAGGTTTTTGGGCTCCTTTAGGTGGACAACTCTCGTGGTGACCCTGGGTAATTATGCCTATTAAGGCTTATACATGGGGTTACCCAGTGTATATAAGCTTGGAGAGTTACTAAGGGGGGCCCTGCAAGTAAGAAAATTATTACAACATATCTATGGAAACCTCAGCTTTTATGAAAGAAACCAATTTCTATTATTCTTGTGAGGTCACAGAGAAAACCAAACTCCTTTGTGAAGGAGTCTGGTTTTCCTAACCAAACCTAACACACACAACTATTTCAATACCAACTAAAAATAATCACAAAAATATACTGCAGTCCAGTATTTAAGGCAATGATTTTCTCATGTATAAAATTTGCATATATAAAAATGAAAGACGATAAAGGAACATACCTACTTCTCTCTTCCCGTCCCTCACATACACTGTGTAGCCACCTCGGCACACAGGTCCACCTAACTTAAATACACAAAGAACCACTTATTGTCACGACATATTAATAGACAAAATGAATGTATGCAAGATGTAGTGACACTACACTGAAGCAATACATGGGGGGTCACCTTGGTAAATGAAATAACATTCACACTGTGTAAAGATGTTGCCAGTTACATAAGTGAGACCAACCAATCATAGTAGTATCAATGGCATCAACATTATTTATTTAACATTTATCATATACACGGGTTTGTGACATTCGTTCCTCACTAAACACAATGAACATAAAAAATTAACAACTTCAATTTCCCTTTCCTCAACTTTTCTGCTGCACAAATTTCACTTTTCAGAATAGTTGCTGAAATAATATTTTTCACACACAATCCCAGTTTCTCAAAGTTGACATGTAAATAATCATGCAAAACTTTTCAGTCTCACAATGTTATTTTCCACATCTCAATGTGTTTAGATAACCTGCAGAAAAAAAGAATGAATAATTGTTGCATGCACTATTCCATTAACGATGCTGCATGAGGTGGCAATATTCTGTACAAAAGTAAAGAAATGCAAAATCATGAAATGACACAAACAGGAAAAATGTTTAAAGCAGAATTTCTTCCCAATACCACCACCTGGGCCCAGCTGCACCTTACATGCACCTGAACACGACCAGCACTGGTGGAGAACAATATCAAATATCTCGTACACAAGAAAACATGGTAGTGTAGACCTTCCAGACACATGTACACTTACAAAATTATCCTTTGCAAGAGAGGAGAGCAGTTATATAAGCCACAGTGTATACCACAGGCGGCACGACGGTCGTGAGAGGTGCACGAAATGTGACGTAACACGTTTAACAAGATAGTCTAGTAAACCATATAGTATTGTGCAATGCTTGCTATACATTACCTCCATGGTGCTTTGTTGACTATTGTATAGTAAGTGAATAAATAATATTAGTAGATCTGCAAAATATTCCCTATCACATTTTATTAGCTTTCTGGAATTTGTTTTATTTATCCCTCATACTGAGTTTATTCCAAGTAAAATGGCATGGAAAAGGGCAATAACCTTATTAAAGAAAATCTGTGTAAAAAAAAAAACATGCAAAAGATTTTTTTAACCATGAGCTGGAATTTATACTTGAAAAGTAAAAATATAAAATAAGGTTTATTTACAGCACATTAATACAGTAAAGTGTAAATACTGTACAGTATTACGTAAACAAATGTATTCTCATGCACGAACTACACATCAAGGCTTATGTCCTTGCTTGTGTGTGCGTGTGCACACACACATGCGTACAACTCACCTTAGTAAACACTTTTCGGGGGATTGCTTGTTTCTGAAAAGATGTTTATGAAAATAAATTGCAAAAATTAAGAAGAAAATTACAATCTCAAAAGCCACATCAGCAGCAAATTCCCACAATTCATTAACTTTTGCTAAAGAAGAAAACGACTGCAAAACGTGTGTGGTTTTACCATACCGCTTACTGCACTTTCAAATCCTTCTGATAAACTACTGTACTTATAAAGCACACAACTTAATGCCAAATAGGTAATAATTTATTAAAAAAACAAAAATCACAAATAGAGATCTATAAAGATCATCTGCCAGTCACTGTCAGTCAAATAAGTATGAGTTGTAAGCAAAAAACACGTAATCATTCTATACCGGCACTCTTTACAAAACTGTCAAAGCACCTAAGCATATGCATCAGTACAAATCTAACATGCTGAAGTTCAAATAATTATTCCACTTTCAAAATGAACAAATGGAAAAATACAACAGAAACTAACAAATTTATATAATTCTAAAAATGCAATATTTTATGCAATGCACATCTGTAAACTCAGTTTTGTAAACATTAGGGATTGAGTTGAGCAGTGCAAATGAAAATCAATTTTTTAAGCGAATCATTTGGTGGCTTCCTGAAGTAAGATCTACTGTGTCTTAAGGACATGATCATGCACAGTCAAGCAGGGTGGTATAATAGCAGGGTGGTGGTATTTACAGTCTCCGTGGTGTAGTGGTAAGACACTCGCCTGGCGTTCCGCGAGCGCTATGTCATGGGTTCGTATCCTGGCCGGGGAGGATTTACTGGGCACAATTCCTTAACTGTAGCCTCTGTTTAACGCAACAGTAAAATGTGTACTTGGATGAAAAAACGATTCTTCGCGGCAGGGGATCGTATTCCAGGGACCATAGGATTAAGGACTTGCCCGAAACGCTACGCGTACTAGTGGCTGTACAAGAATGTAACAACTCTTGTATATATCTCAAAAAAAAAAAAAAAAAAAAAAAAAAAAAAAAAAAAAAAAAAAAAAAAAAATAGCACTGGCATTACAAGGTACTTTTCAAGTGGTCTCTGCAGGGTCATAGTAGTACTAGGTCACTGAAGAGTATTCAATTCAGCATAGAAAGACTGATAGTCCAACATCCATTCATAAAAACTCTAACTCAAAGCCCTTTCTGATACCCTCGTTGTGCACCACAGGTAAATGTCAAGGATGTGCTCTTGCTAACTCCTAGCTGGCCAGCTTGGGAACCTGTGCCAACCAGCCCCAGATAGCAGCAGCAGCACCACACATCTGGGTTTCATCATCTGAGTCACCCCACACACATCCTGTTGCCAGGAACAAACTTTTGCACTGGAAAAATGGGAATATAAGGCAGGAAGTTGAATAGTCTGCTCAGGTTTCTGAGCAGCTGAATGGACTGCTCAGAAAGGCACTTCATATAATTCAAAGCATTATTTCCAAGCAATCTCATTTAGCTGCTTCCTAAGGAAAGATTTAAAACGATAAATAATGCAAAATAATGGGTCGACTCGCCAGTCCCGGGAACACCGTAGGGAAGAAAGCACACCATCCTGCACAGAAGAATCAAGTGGCAAGGTCCCCAGGACAGCTGACACCAGAGAGGCCAAGCAGGAAGACAATCTGGACAAAGTTACACACCAGTGACACAGCAAAAGGGCTTGCTAAGGTCGTGTTCTGCAACTAATCCTAGAGTTCAAATTTCCTAGCAAGACAGATGGAAAGGTCTTAAAACTTGTGTTGCTCTATACTTCAGCTAACAAGGGCACAGGGGCCTGACCCACATATTATCTGACAATTGTGCCCAGACCAAGATGTTCTAAGAGTATACAGTATAGTACAGTACCAGTAGCTACATTGTTAATCCCTAATAACTAGTGATGGTCCAATATATTGGAAAAAAAATCCTGTGCAAATTAATTCCTTCATTGGTCATCAGTAAACAGATGCCCACCATTTTTGACACTTCACTCCAGTTCCAGCATGCTAAACATTGCCATCAGGCAGGTGATCATTTATGGCACACTATCAATAGCTAGGAAGAAGGAAAGGATAAAACATGAACCTGCCTACTGACAGGAAAGAAAGTCAAAGTATGATATGGCTTGGGGGTAGAAACCTGGATGTGTGTTTAGTGCTGCTACCTGGTGGTAGTCAGTGCAAGTACTCAAGGAGGCCAATTGGTAGTTAGTGGAAAACTTGCCTTGGCATTCACCAGTGATAATAAAAAGGGTAAGGAAGGGCTTTAAGTTTTTATGAATGGACTATTTATAAAAATAGTCATTCAAGGCTGGACTGAATTCATTTCAGAGACTGGTACTGTAATACCATTTATAACCCTGCAGGGATGGTGCAGAAAGTTTCATGTGGCTTAGTTTTGTTTTTTAATTCCATGTTTATTTATATATACTGTATTTATATATACATTACATATCTGTACTTGTGCATTCTGTACTACAGATATTACATTCATACATACATACACACAACATAATATCCATACATGTGTACATACATAGATCATGACAGTTAAAAAAAAATAATGCCCAAAATTCTTAACAGTGAAGCAGGTAGCTTGGTATGTGTTCCATTGAAAAACATTCAGTGAAATATAAGGTCTAGTTCTTTGCAGGCAAACTTGTGCAAGTAGCCAGTGTTTGTGGCAGTAGGTGGTGGTGGTGGTGGTGGTGGCATGAAGCACGAGCTGAGCAAGAGCACTGCAAGAAAGGTGCTTATCTCAAATATCTATGTGCAGAAGATATACCGAAAACAGTGAGCAACTTTCGGAGAAAACCAAAGGTTAGAAATGTCACACTAAGAGCCATTGACATCTAGAGTGGTTAGAAAAGGAGTAAGACTTAACAGCTCCACTGAAGAATAACTCTTCAGCCAAAAATTAATTGTATTTACACAAAACTGCTGTGGCAACATCATGTACTGTATACAGTATCATCAAATTAATGGAAATGGAAATAAATTGAACAGTGAAGGGAAAAATTTGGAATGTGATGGACCAATGAAAATTACCATTACATACCAACAATGATCCAGTAGAACAAAGCAGATTCACCATCTTTCCCCAAGATATGTTTTCTGAAGTGTTACAGCAGATAAACTACATACCAGTATTGATATGCAGGAGTCCAAAGCAAAACAAGAAAATACAATGCTAAATTTGACCAATTTGACTCTTGGCAAGAGTTGCTAACTTTTGTTCATGATTAAAAATTATAATTTAATAATAATTCATTGTATCAGGGACAGGCAGCCAGAGTGTATTAATACACATTAGACTTATAATCAAGTTCTCCCCCCCCCCCCCACCCAGGATGCAACCCCACAAGCTGACTAACTACCGAGTACAGTACCTACTTACTGCTAGATGAACAGTTCCATTAGGCGATAGGAAATGCCCAATTATTTCTGTCCTGCCGGGGATTCGAACCCAGAATTCTCGATTGCGAGTTGTGAACGAACCCGACTATACTACCGGGATCCTACAGGTGACATTTCAAGTACTGTATGTCAATATGTAAACTTACAAATGTTTAAACAAAGGCTGTAAATGCTACCTTTTTTTTTATATAACACCAAGAGTGATAAAAACGTATTTAACTATTTCACATTTATTACTAAACTGCTGTAATTTGTCCTCAGACAAATTCTCTGCAATACAATTAATTTCTTGTATGGTTTCCCCATCCTTTTAGTAAAAATATCACAAACCCCACTTTCTCTTAATTACTGCCCTAATATGTTTACTAATATTGCTGTTACTTTTGAATGCTAAATCTTTGACTTCTTTTTTTCATCTATTCTTGTAAGTCTTAATGTGAGCCTGCAGATAATGTGGAACAGCCATCCAAACTTGAAGGACATGAGGACAAGGCTCTCAAAACATCCAGATCAGAAGGTAAAGCTCATGAAAACATCCAGATCAGAAGGTAGAGCTCATGAAAACATCCAGATCAGAAGGTAGAGCTCATGAAAACATCCAGATCAGAAGGAAGAGCTCGTGAAAACATCAAGATCAGAAGGTAGAGCTCATGAAAACATCCAGATCAGAATGTAGAGCTCATGAAAACATCCAGATCAGAAGGTAGAGCTCATGAAAACATCAAGATCAGAAGGTAGAGCTCATGAAAACATCCAGATCAGAATGTAGAGCTCATGAAAACATCCAGATCAGAAGGTAAAGCTCATGAAAACATCCAGATCAGAAGGTAGAGCTCATGAAAACATCCAGATTAAAAGGAAGAGCTCATGAAAACATCCAGATGTAAAGCAAGAGCTGGTGGAAGCCTAAAAATGACAAGATATTACAGAGAAAGGTGTGACAACTATCTTCAAAGTGGTACTACTAAGAAAATACTTTCTACGGCATATTTCCTACAGCACACTTTTCGTACAAGCAGGAAAACCAAATTAATTAAGATATACTGACATAACATGGGCTAGAGGTGAAGTCTATTGAAGCTTGTGTGGTGATGGTTGGTGAACGTCAACCTGAAGGACATTTATAGTGTGGTCAGAATCTTTGGCTATAAAAAATAAAGTACAACTGACATATCAGTGTCAAATGTAGATTAAAAAATAATCTGGCAAGTTGCATTAAATAGCCTTTTGGGATGATAATTTAACAACTGCAAAAAATATGCCAAATATTATAGCTGCTCTGCCATTACCACAATTCAAAAAACACATTAAACGCAAGATTAAACTAGCTAAACACAGATGCCGAATAAATACAAGAAAATTCACTTTCGCAAACAGAGTGGTAGACGGTTGGAACAAGTTAGGTGAGAAGGTGGTGGAGGCCAAGACCGTCAGTAGTTTCAAAGCGTTATATGACAAAGAGTGCTGTGAAGACGGGACACCACGAGCATAGCTCTCATCCTGTAACTACACTTAGGTAATTACACTTGGGTAATTACATACACGTACAAACATTCAGCATTATGCAGACAAAGTCACAACAACATGGCTGAAAATTAGACACCCAACCCGCACCACCTTTCTTTTCAGATGTGTAGGTTGAGTGTCTAAATCAACACAAGCTGCACCAGTAGACAGCAAAGAGACCACAGTGAAGTATAGGATGCAAAATACACATAAAAAAAAACTTTTATTATCTATATATGAAGCTTCAATATACTGTTGATACATACACTTGCAAGATTATGATGGACAAATTGTAATCAACAACTGGTAATTAAGTGCAACAAAAATATTAAACAATAAATAATTACACAATAAAATCAACACAAAATTCCCAGTGTATACAGTTACAGCCCCGCTCCTGTGCCAGGTAAGTCCACTATAGGCTCACCATAGCCCGTGCTACTTGAAACTTTTGTTCAGAGTAGCTGAATCTATAAACAACAACAACCCTGTGTATTATAAATTGGTTTCAGGATAATGATTAAGCAGCCCATGCTCCTGTTTTGGTAGTACTTATAGTAATGATGAGGACTATAGTACATCTTGAGGTTATCTTGAGATGATTTCGGGGCTTTTAGTGTCCCCGCGGCCCGGTCCTCGACCAGGCCTCCACCCCCAGGAAGCAGCCCGTGACAGCTGACTAACACCCAGGTACCTATTTTACTGCTAGGTAACAGGGGCATAGGGTGAAAGAAACTCTGCCCATTGTTTCTCGCCGGCGCCTGGGATCGAACCCAGGACCACAGGATCACAAGTCCAGTGTGCTGTCCGCTCGGCCGACCGGCTCCTATATATCAACATACAATGCAATTAGAAAAAAATCTGTACTATTGAATTTCTACAAACCAGAAAAGGTTTTGTATTTGTTGCAAAGACAACCTAAACTAACCTAACCTAACCTTACTAGCCCTAATACATGCTATCTAAGGCCTAATACAGTATGTGTGTGTGCTATACTAGGCCTAGGAATATTTAAGTTTGTTTTTTTGCTTCTTTTTTTAGACTTATAAAGTGAATAGTACCAAATTCTATTATCTCATTGCTTAGTACATCAATGTTTGTACTACAGTGCACATAGTTACTAAAACTACTATCTAAACAGGAGGATGGGTTGGATTAAGTCAATAAAATCAAATATTTTTTAAATAGGCTAAAAAAAAGCCTAAACATTCTAAAACAAAATAAAACTAATAAGTATATACTGTACAGTCTTTAACCATAACCATATTAAGGTGAAGACTAATCAGGAAATAACTATAGAGTAATCATTTAGGAACCATGGAAATAAACCCGAGACATGACACTCAACACCATATGCCTGTAACATTGGAATATTCGTTCAGGATATAAGGCAACACACTTGAGGAATACGAACTTCACCACACTGCATATGCCAGTCATGTAACTTTGGAATAATCATTTAGTAAGAGACCACACACCTGAGCAATGACAATGTTGACACATCCCATATACCAGCCATGTCATCATCTCCGCCCGCAGCCAACAGAACCGAGTTTGGGGAGAAGGCACATACTCGTACTGCAGCTTCGCTTGGAGGTTGCAGTGAACACAGACGATCCCCAGTCTGGTAGCACAATTAGATTTCAAATTACATTGAAAACGAAGTCTGCAAGAATGATACTACATCAGTTTTCAATACAGCCTTTATTCATTTAATAGATGCATTAACAAAAAATAAAGTAAAATAAGAATTTTTAACACTTTAACCTAAACTCGTAGTATATAATTGAAGATGTATTCCTAAAAAATTCTACAGTTTCATCTCTTAACTCTTCATCTTGGCCTTCGAACTGATGCAGCCCTCATAACTTGCTGGTCAATTGAAACTAGTGTTGGCAGATGGTAAATTAAAGCAGAGGAAAAAAACAAACACTTGTGGGAGAAATGGCTAGGAAGCAAGTCTCATCTCTTCCCTTGTAGCTAGCACTCAAGCACTTTTCTTGCACTGGTGCAAGATGTCCACCTGTACCGACTGTGCAGAGTCCTAGCCATGGCAACAGCAGGAATTGCACATAGAAGCAACTGTGTGCAGTAGTGACATGTATGTAAATGGTAAAATTAAAGAAGCCATCATCATCATGTACTTTCTGGAAAGTGCACCATAGATTCAATTTTATGCATTTTTGGAAAGAAAGGGAACAGAAGTGCAAAGGCCATTATGACTATACAGCACTTGGAAGGGATCAGGATAGGGGCGGGGAAAGGAATGGTGCCCAACCTATTGGATGGTCGGGGATTGAACATCAATCAGTATGAAGGGAGACCGTCACGCTACCATGCAGCCCAAGTGGTTGAGTATGCACTTTTGGATTACAGTACAGTCAGGAATTATAGACCTTCCCAAATGTTCAAGAAAATGCTTGCCTTCATGTACATCATTGTGAGCATATAGAGCAGTTTATGCAGTATACTTGCGACTGAAAAGTGCTCAGAATACTGAATAATAAAGTTCAGGCAGGTGTTTTATTGTATTATGCATAAATAAAGCACCACTTTGTTAGGTCTTTGAATTGCATCTCTATTATTCTATCAAGTTTTACTTGTACATATCTAGGCAAGACAAGGCTCTCCCAAAACATCTCCCAAGTTAAATAAGGTTACACGGTATAAGAAAATGTAAACCACCATCTAATAAGTTTTAAAAAAATCACAGAGCTAAAAGGTACACCCAAATTTACATAATCCTCCAAAATAAAAAATGTAAACAAGTATAATACAGTGTCATGTGTACTATACAATCCAGCTATATAATCAAATGTTTGTGGCCATTCTAAGAAAGCAAACTTAAACTTTGTCACTTAACTGTCTTATGACACATTTGTGAAGCAATCTCACTGCACAATAATGTCACAAAAAACACTATTTACAAATGCACCATTCTTACCTTCACATCCCATATGATTGTTGATCCATCAGTTGAAGCAGAAGCTAACTTTGTTCCAAAGGGAGAGAAACTGACACAGTTGACTCCGTATGTATGTCCAAGAAGTGGAGAGTAACTAACCTCAACAAAGGTGTCGCCAACTTGCCACTTGTACACACGCACACTCTTGTCACTGAAACCAATATTGCACTGATGTCACTTGTTATGCATTCTTCAATAAAATTTAAAAAAACACTGACGGCACCAACTTCTCCAAGCCATTCAGTATGCATGATACATGAACAAGTAAAAACACATATACAGTACTGTACTGTATATATGGGTCTTACATAGTAGTTTAAGTAATACAATACAAATATTTATTCAGGTAAAGTACATACATACAAGGTGAAATACAAAAGTTGATGGATTTATAGATAGAGCTAGTACATACAATGCCTAAAGCCACTACTGTATTACGCAAAACGTTTCGGGCAGGAAAAACACTAAGACTAAAACTTAATACTAACTTAGATTAAAGTATAAAGTTGGGTTTTAGAAGCTACTGAAGAGCAAGCAAGACTACAAACCAAGAGGTGTTGCAATATTAACCGAGGGAACCTTAAGGAAGGAATAGTACACCAAAAACCATTTAAATGTCTTCATTTTTCCTTTTTGATCCACCACTGCCCACGGAATGGGTATGGGGTTCATAATAGAGAAATTGAACTGATCATGCAACCTTAATCAGCATGTCTAAAACTGCTTCTGGTGAAATTTTGAAGGAAGAAGTAAAAATTAGATGCTAAAAATCCCAAATAATGGAGTGTGTGTTGGAAGTTGCTAGAGAGTGAGTAAGGCACTTTACCAAGAGCTAAGACACCAATATCTAATATTGCATAAAATAGTGTTCATATTTAAAAATATCTTCTATCAAATATTGCAATCATAATCAGCATTTGTAAAATATTTTTTGTTGAGATTTTGAAGTAGGAATTATAAGCTAAATTGACAAATAGTAGTAACAGTGATGGAAGATGTAAGGGGAGTTAATAGTACTCTATTACATTCACATGCACGCTGTCTTATTTCTTGAATTATTTGTATTTTCTCGCACAGGTTAACATTACTGTATACTGGATGCACCTAGCCATGGTTTTTGAGTCATTTCTGACTCCTAATACTGTATAATCTTTATATCTAGTTTGTAATAGCTTCAGCCTATGCTGAGGTTGGAGGCACAGCCATTGTAGATGGAATGATTGGAGACCTCTGACATCAAAGGGCCATAATTATGCATAAACAATGTACAGTACTGAATATAGACATGAATATTTAAATTCTTGCTAGACCAGCTAATGTACCTCAATATCATTTAACTTTCAGACCCTGCAAAGAAATTCTTGACACTCGATTATTCTAGGTAAAATGCTAAATTAAACATTCTTATATTTCCAGAACTTACGATGAGCCAGTGGCAAGCAGAGATCTGCCAGCAAAATCCACACTGGTGACGTCGTTGGAGTGATCCTTAATGGTGCATATTGGGGCCGAGCCAGACACTCCCACCCCTTCAGCTCCATTTCCATTTTTAATTCGATTCTTATTCAGAACACTACATCTGTAATTAATTCAGGTTTCAGATTATCATTTGTATGAGAGTTCTCTCAGTTAAAATGTCTAAATTTATTCAAATACAAAGAATATCACATCTTGACCAATTTCCTGCCCTTTCCAATACAGTACAATATTGTACAGTGGAACCTTGATTCAACAAACCTTAATTCAGCGAATCTCCGGTTGGCGCACACATTTTCCATGGCAGGTTTACTCATCCTATTCAACAAACAAAAGTTTGCTGAAGCTGGGGATACGTGTATTTGCTTAGGATGTTGGAACCAAATTCAGAGATGTAGGCAACATTACAAGAAATATTTGGGGCTTTGGGAAAGCCACTGAGCATATTTAAAACCAAATTCTCTGTTTTTTTTATTTCACGTTGCAGAGGTTTTTGTTCAGAAAATTTGGGACCCTTTTCCTTTGAAAATAAGATTTTGAGGCTTACAGACAGGTTATCTTGGTAGTAGTTCTTCATATGACAGGTTGAATTTCAAATTTTGTTTAGTGACATCAGCCCATAGAGCATGAGAAATGTTAGGGTATAAGAGGTAACTCTTAATATGGCTCCAATCATATTTTTGATGATTTTTGTCAGTATATGTACTCATCATTACATTACAGGAAACAGTTTGAGCCTTGGGAAAGCCATTGGGAATATTTAAAACCAAATTCTATTTTTTTTTTCAGTTGGCAAGGTTCACTCGGGTATGGAACTGCTACCTTTTGGAAATGAGTTGTGATGCTGGGGATGTGAGATAATGAGTAGAAGTGGTTACACTTTTGCAGACATGTTCATTTGGTAGTTATCTATAATAGGTTGAAAAGGAAATTTTGCCCAGAGAAATTAGCTTGTAGGTCATGGGAAATGCATTGTAGCGTCATCTCCAGTTGCAACAAATCTCTCACTGCAATGAACTGGGTTTGGTCCAGTACAGTTCGTTGAATCAAGGTTGTGTTGTATAAGAGTTTGGTTGTCAAGAGACGTACCAATTTCAGCCATTCCTATGCTTCAAACCAAGCACTTTGCAAACAAAGGTAAACCATTTTTTAAATCAGAGTAAGAACTGCTTTGACATGATTTTTACCTTTCTCTTATTAATTCCAGGTCTCTAAAATGGTCTGTGTTCTCCGCACCCTCCATCCGATACCAACTCCTGAAAAACATGATCCATAATGGTCACTGCTGTACTGTAGCCATGTATATCGTGTTCCTCTTCCCCGAAATGAGCACACGCTAGCATTGTTATTAATTCATTGTCACACAGTGAAGGACATGTCCATTTATTGATTATCCCTCACGTTCCTTCACCTACCACTACCACCAAGCACGCTACTGCTTAATACATGCTTGATGGGGTTCTGGGAGTTCTTCTACTCCCCAAGCCTGGCCTGAGGCCAGGCTTGACTTGTGATGTTGATGCTCCTACCACTACCAGTTCACCTCACATATAAACCTAAATTACTACTATGCAATAAAACAACAACCACCACTACCACTTCCACTGAAGACACTACTTCCACTACCAACAAAAATGACAGACCCTAACAGGAATGGGGTACAGGTTGTCGTCGCCACGCCCCAAAACGTGGGCGATGTCATTGCTACACCTCCAAAAATGTGAAGGATGTCATCACTATCAAAATTACAATCAAAAGGGGCCTGACAGCCGAGTGGACAGTGCTCAGGATTCGTAGTCCTAAGGTTCCTGGTTCAATCCCCAGCAGAGGCGGAAACAAATGGGCAGAGTTTCTTTCACCCTGATGTCCCTGTTCACCTAGCAGTAAATAGGTACCTGGGAGTTAGACAGCTGCTACGGGCTGCTTCCTGGGGGTGTGTAACAAAAAGAAGGCTTGGTCGACGACCGGGCCACGGGGTCGCTAAGCCCTGAAATCATCTCAAGATAATCATAACCCCAAAATATGGGGGGGGGGAATGTCATCACCATAACCCCAAAATATGGGAGGGGGGTAAGTCATCACCATAGCCCCAAAATATGGGGGGATGTCATCACCATAGCCCCAAAATATGGGGGGATGTCATCACCATAGCCCCAAAATATGGGGGGATGTCATCACCATAGCCCCAAAATATGGGGGGATGTCATCACCATAGCCCCAAAATATGGGGGTAAGTCATCACCATAACCCCAAAATATTAGGGACATGTCATCACCATAACCCCAAAATATTAGGGACATGTCATCACCATAACCCCAAAATATGGGGGGTAAGTCATCACCATAACCCCAAAATATGGGGGGTAAGTCATCACCATAACCCCAAAATATGGGGGGTAAGTCATCACCATAACCCCAAAATATGGGGGGTAAGTCATCACCATAACCCCAAAATATGGGGGGTAAGTCATCACCATAACCCCAAAATATGGGGGTATGTCATCACCATAACCCCAATGCAGGTGATGAGTCACAATAACGTGGCTGAAGAATGTTGACCAGACCACACACTAAAAGGTGAAGAGACGACGATGTTTCGGTCCTTCCTGACCATTCTCAAGTCAATTTTGATGAGGGAGTTGATGCAGGGCAATAAATAGGCAAGAGAGAGGTGAGGAGCAAGGCAAAAGGTATGAACGATAAGGTGTAGTAGAGGGGATAGTAGTAGGAATAAGAACTGCAGAAGGCCCATTGGCCCATACGAGGCAGCTATTATAACCACCGAATGAGAAGCAGATAGTAATAGGAATAAGAAGAGGGAATGCAAGGGAATGTAAGAGAAAACAATGAACAGAAAAAAAGGAAAGAGAAAGAAAAGGAAAGAGAAAGAAAGATAAATGGAAGGGTAAGCTTATGTTAGGTCACGTTTGTTAATAAGATTAGAGCATTTGAGTATGTACTGTGAAAGGGATAGTACATACTCAAATGCTCTAATGCATCCCCCAAAAAAGAGGGAGGATGACATCATCGCCACACCCCGAAGGGGGGGATAACATCTTTACCACCCCCCGAAGGGGTGTTATCGTTATCGTTACCACACCCCGAAGGGAGGGATGACGTCATTACCATACCCCGAAAGAAGAAGATTCATGAATGCGTAATTGACATTTTCTAGAAACGTGATGTGTAAAAATGGAACATAATTAAAGTATGCAAATATGGTAAACATAACAAAATAGAATGTAACACAATAGACACTGAATAAGACCCTTGTAAGGCCCGTAAACCCATCACCCAGATATCCCCATCACCAGTTCCATAAATCATATGAAGTATTTCTTTATAAATAAACTATTACTACTAAATAATTGCAGTGGTCCCCACGCCCCGGTGAAGATAAAGTAATCACGACACCAAACACATGTAATACATGTCATAAACAAACACACACACACACACTGGAAAAGTTGCAAACTGGAAAAGGTGCAACGGCATGCTGCAAAATGGCTTCCACAACTGAAAAACAAAAGTTATGAGGAGAGACGAGAAGCGTTAAACATGCCAAAACTAGAAGATAGAATAAAACGAGGTGATATGATCACTTACAAAATACTAACAGGACTCTACCAAATTGACAGAGGAATTCCCGAAACCGGTAACTTGACGAACAAGAGGACGCAGTACACACAGAAATCACAATAACGTGATGCATCAAATGAACAAATCCACAAGGGCCGTGACGAGGATTCGAACCTGCGTCTGGGAGCATCCCAGACACTTTTAACCATGTCATAGCTCAGTCGATTAAGGCAGTGTTTGGGATGCTCCCGGACGCAGGTTAGAATCCTCGTCACTGCCCTTGTGGATTTGTTCAAGAGGGCGCAGGTTCAAGCTAAGAAAACAGAGGTGCCAAAAATACCATTAGAAAATGTTATTTTGCAAATAGAGTGGTGGACGGTTGGCACAAACTAAGTGAGGTGGTGGAGGCCAAAACCGTCAGTAGTTTCAAAGTACAATACGACAAGAGTACCGGGAAGGCGGAACACCACGAACTTGGCTCTCATCCTATAACTACACTTAGGTAATTACACGCCATAAACACCCAACTCTGGCACTCAGTAATACACACAACATGCCCCACACTCACTTATACTTGAGGAAGTTCGTCATAGACGCTGGTGTTGCTCGGCCAGTGTAAGAGACACTGGCAGCGGGCAGAGCTCTGGAGGCACTCTGGAGGCACTCTGGAATGTTTACAGTGAGTGACGGGGGCCACCAGACGACCCACTCACCCCCGTACACTCTCACACTCCCCGACACCTCCTGCTGCCTCACGCTGCTTCCTCCTACACTCAATAGATGGCATAACTAATCCTTCCCATCCTCGGCTACATCTTATTTTATTTATTTTATTTATTTAATACAAGAAGGTACATTGGGTTTGTGAGAATACATAGAATGGTATTTACAATTTTGTAAAGCCACTAGTACGCGCACATCAACCTTTATACTTCATAATCTATTTTTCATCTATATTTGTAAGTCAAATCAAATCAAATGTTTATTTAGGTAAGGTACATACATACAAGAGATTTTACAAAGAGTGATGGATTTATAGATAGGGCTAGTACATACAATGCCTAAAGCCACTATTACGCAAAGGTACAAAGTAGGTTAGTAGGTAGGTAGGTACAATTGGGCTGTGAAAGCACATATGTTGGTGATTAACTGGTATATACTTTGTATTTATATATTTTTTATATACAAGAGTTCTTACGTTCTTGTACAGCCACTAGTACGTAAAGCGTTTCGGTTAAGTCTTTTTTTCTGTCCAGGGGAAGAAAGAAATAGGCAGCATGGGGCGTTAAAGTTTATTGAAGATTAAATTCTGCAGAACATGTAAATATATAAAGTAAGAATTAACAGTAACAATTCCAAGTCCGAGGACTAGGTTTAACTTAAAAGGTACACCCGTAGTAATTATGAGACCTTAGCCTATAGTGACATGGAACTAATTCTGCAGAAACGTAAAGCATTAACTGGTACTAGAATTAAGGCCGAATGCAAATGTGAGTAATTATATAACACTAGGATATAACAGGCAGGACACAAAGAGTAACTAATAAGTGAGAGACCACATAACACATAATGTACCCGACCAAGAGGCCGGTAAGACCTAATGAATAAGGAGAAGGGGTTGACTACAAGTAGGGCTTACTAGCACCTAGACTGGGCAAAGTATTAGCTGCGGACAGCGGGACACTTGGGGACCGGCGCTGCACCCCCCTTCCCACAGCAGTGGGGAGACAAACAGGACGCTGTGCAAAGCATGACGAGGGTACAAAAGCAGCCGCTTGCAAAGGGGTGGAGGGTGGGATTTTGCGAGGGCAGCGGCGAGGGTAGGCGGAGTGAGGGCAGAGCCCCGTTGTGCGCCCGTATTTATAGGGGCCCCAAACTGCCCGCGCAACGCCGCGGGACGCGCTGCGCAATTGTTTCCTTCTCCCCCGCCAGAAACATCCCCGCTTGCAATCAAGCAAGCAGTGACCATTTTCTGTCCAGGGGAAGAAAGAAATAGGCAGCATGGGGCGTTAAAGTTTATTGAAGATTAAATTCTGCAGAACATGTAAATATATAAAGTAAGAATTAACAGTAACAATTCCAAGTCCGAGGACTAGGTTTAACTTAAAAGGTACACCCGTAGTAATTATGAGACCTTAGCCTATAGTGACATGGAACTAATTCTGCAGAAACGTAAAGCATTAACTGGTACTAGAATTAAGGCCGAATGCAAATGTGAGTAATTATATAACACTAGGATATAACAGGCAGGGCACAAAGAGTAACTAATAAGTGAGAGACCACATAACACATAATGTACCCGACCAAGAGGCCGGAAAGACCTAATGAATAATGAGAAGGGGTTGACTACAAGTAGGGCTTACTAGCACCTAGACTGGGCAAAGTATTAGCTGCGGACAGCGGGACACTTGGGGACCGGCGCTGCACCCCCACCGCAGGCCAGCGGCCGGACCCCCCCCCGAAGGGCGAGTGCCAGCTGGCCACGTGAGGCACTCAAAGTGGCAGAGCAACCACGTCCCGCCTGACGTAGGATGTGAAAGCGCTACTCCTCCACCTGCCGACAGCCATTATTTCTGAAGTGGCGAGCCCATCCCGAGACAGCTGAGTGGCCCTGCCGATACGGAAGGAATGCGGCGCGTAGTCATCTGGAGGCAAGCCTAGCGCCGAGAGGGCAGAGCGTAGGATCTTGGAGAAATCTCGCCTGGTGACAGGAGCGCCTGCGGCGTGTTTGAATATGGGCCCCGGGCGCAGGCCCCTGAGATTAAAGTATTTAGACAGGGCACGAACCGGGCAGTACTTGCTGGAAGGGTTCGCTCTCAGGGAGAGGGTGGGCGTGCGCCCTGCACTGTGCTTGTAGGTGTTGAAGACGATATCTACTCCTGCCGTCGTAAGTGATACCTGCTCAAGGTTGAGCGTGTGTCGTCCATGGTCCACGTAAACCGCCTCACCCGGGCGTAGGCAGGCGTGGAAAACCAGGGAGAAGAGCGCCCTGTAGCAGGACTTCTCATAGGCAGAGTTACATACGCCTCCCAGTGCCCGCAGCAGGCGATGCAGGAGGCTCCTCGTCACTGGGAGACGCCGCGCAGGGGCCCGCTGTGCGGAGTTACGTGCCCCTTTGAGGAGTTGGGTGACCAGGAAGTGCCGAGTTGGGTCCCTCCTACCGTGTAGCTTGCAGACGAAGGCGATGGCCGCTAGATATGCGTGCAGAGAGCGGTAAGCCAGGCCCCGCGAGAGCAGAGATTGCAGGAAGTTCACCAGAGTCGGAGGTGCAGCATCGAAGGGGCATTCTCCTTGCCGCCCTGCCAAGACGTAGGCGGCGTACTCCACCCACTTAGCCCTGTAAGTACGCCTCGTCGCTGGCTGCAGGGAGTTGAATAGGGTCCTCACAGTTGCAGGGTGAAGTTGCAGGGCAGGAGGTGCGCAGGAACTGTTGTCGGCGTCTCGGCGAGGCCTGCTTCTCGCAGGAACAAGGGCGGCAGCGTCTGTAAGCGGGAAAGAGCATCACAAACCCCGTTTAATTTTCCTGGGAGGTGGGAGGGTAGTAGTGTAATGTTATGGATGAGTAACAGCACTGCCAAGGGCCTGACAATTTGCATTAGTAGTGGGCACCTAGCAGAGAGTGTGTTGAGCACGCTTACCACTGCACTGTTGTCCGATTTACACACCAGCCTCTTATTGGCCAATACCGGGGCGAAAAGTGCTATGCCCATAAAGAAAGGGTAGAGCTCGAGCAAAGCAATGTTGAGCCGACCCCAGACCTGAGGCCAGGTTCCCCTGAACCAGGCTGCCCCTAGCGTTAGTCCATACCCCTTGGAAGAAGCATCTGCGCACATTGAAAGTGATGGGGCGTTTCCCCACCCGCCATCTGGGGGAAAAACTGTTACTCCATTGAAATCAGTGAGGAAGGAGCGCCAGGCGACGAGATCGTGCTTAGCCTCCGCGTCCAAATGGCATAGGCGCGAGGGACGCTGTGGGCCTCGCGTAAGCGGGTGCAGACGACGCAAGAAGGCCCGTCCTCCCGGGATTACCGCGGTGGCGAATTGCAACTTCCCGATGATCGCCTGCAGATCTCGGAGAGGGATGCGCTCCTGACTCAGCGCGACTTCGACCGCTGCCGTGTACTTCGTTCTCTTGTCCTCTGGTAGTCTTGTTTCCATCCTGTGAGCATCAATCTCCAGCCCCAGGAACGTGAGGCAGGAGCACGGGCCCTGCGTTTTGTGAGGTGCCAAGGGGACCCCCAGACGCTCGCAGAGGGCAGTGAACACCCTCAGGCTTCGCTGGCACTCGTCGAACGTGAAACTGACGAAGAGGAAGTCGTCCAATACCTTCACGACGTCGCAGACCCCGTACTTCTCGGCGAGGATCCATTGCAGGGCACTGGAGAAGGACTCGAAGATCCGGCAGGAGGGGGCGGCTCCCATGCTGAGCATCTTCTCGTAGTAGTACTTGCCCCCATAAGAAAACCCCAGCAGATGGTAGTCGCTCGGGTGTACTGGGACGATCCTGAAAGCTTCTGCGATGTCGCACTTTGCCAGGTGAGCCCCCGGGGACCGGCTGACAACCATTGTCACCGCGTCATGGATAGACTGGTAGGTGACGGACGTCGATTCCCGTGGGATGTTGGCGTTCACACTGTCAGGGGAGTAAGGGTAGCTAAGGTTGTGCAGGAGGCGGTACTTGCCCGGCGTAGACTTCTCCCTCAGAGCTATGGGTGAACACTTGAAATTCTTGAAAGGGGGGACTTCGTAGGGGCCCGCGATGCGTCCTAGACTCAACTCCTTGTCGAGCATGGGCCCGACGATGTGCGGGAGGTCCGTCGTAGCCTGGGGGTTGCGTGAAGTAAGGGGGGTTCGCACTCCTTCAAAGCCAAGAAGGAACCCCCTTCTGAAACCTCCCACGACGTAGTCTCGCAGGGGGTAACCCGCCAGCAAAGCGTCAAGGGCGTCGGCGTCCACCGGCGTTGTTACTGCCGGCGCTCTTCTTAGCCTTGTCCCGTGGTTGTCTTCGTGGGCGCTGGTCATGGGTGGGTCTGTCGCGTAAGTGGGCTGGGGGGCACGAGGTGTAGGCCGGGTGCCGCCTACGGCAGCGCGGGCAGTAGTGCTGGAAGGCGCAGGAAGTAAAAGTGCAGCCGGGTCCTCTTGAGTGGTAGGCAAAACAGTAGCCCGGGGGAAGCCCTGCGGCCCGGGCGCTAGAGAGGGAAAGGGCAGCCGGCCGACCTGCCTCCTGTCTGCCTGCCTGGATAGCGACGTGTGCGACCCGCTGTATCGAGCGGAATTCCAGGTCCAGCCTGTAATCGAGCCAAGAACAGTCCGACCTCTCCTTGTCCCATCTGAAGGCCTTGTCGTACCACATCCAGTCGTTTTTGAGGGTCACCTTCATGGTCTTGACGTAGCGGGTGTAGGTGAGCAGGGCCTGAGCCTCGGCCGGGTGCTTCTCTATGTAGAGCGTGGCATATATGTCGAAGCCGTGCTCCCACTGGGCTGGCGTCAGTGGCATCAGCTTCTTACCAGACGCCTGGGGGTCAGTGGGGGGCGCGAGGCGTGGCTCGTAGGGCCCTGCTTCTCGCTCATGATTGAGCAACTCCCTGAGGTCAACATACTTTTTAGCCCAGATCTTTTCACGGAGGGCCTGTGGTACGTGTACGCCCAGGAGTGGGATGGTGGAAGCCTGGGGAGCCCGTAGGGGTCCCAGCCAAGGGCTAGGAGGAGGGGA